ATCTTAGAATTTAAGATATATTAGTTAAACTTATAATAATAAACACAATATCAAGTTAGTATAGGGTATCACAACAAATCCTAAATAAGGAATAATATTAAAGAGAAAAGTAAATTTATATGAATTTAAATTGATTTCTTTATTTATAATATTGAAATATGTAGAAAAATTAATTTATTATAACTTAAGCAAAAAGCTATTCTATTTATATAAAATGAATTTGCTATAGCTAATTACTTACTATACTATAAATTAATTATTTTAGTAAATTTTAACTGTAAAATAATAATAAAAAATAATAAAATATAAATATAAAATACAAGATAAATTATATAGAATAAGAAAATAAATATATATAATAAAGATATTTTAGAATAAAAGTTATCTATTATCATGAGTATAATTAAAATTAGCAATATTAAATAAAATTGATATATTTGGTCGATCAGATTAATTATGTAGAGATCTCTAATATTTTTCTGATTTACTTGTTACAGTAATAGTTGATTATTATTGCATATTATCATCTAATAATTCTTATGTAATATTTTCTGCACTTGTAGTAATATCCATTTCTAATATTAATAATATTAATAAAATTTATTGCTCTTCCATGTGATCATATTTATCATCAATATTATTTATAATATCTTAAGTATAAATGTTTATATTATTTAAAATATATAAAAATAAAATTAATAATAATGTAAAATCTATTATTTTTAGAATTATTGAAGAAATTTTAAAGTTAAAATTGATCAAGAAATGAAATTCAATTAATAGAAAATAATAAACCAGAAAATTTATCAAAGTTATAGAATAATTTAAAATAGCACTTAAAATATTTATAAAAAATTAATTAATAATTTTTATAAAATAATGTAATATTAATTTATATTAATTTAATAATAAAATTGAATCAATCAAAATCAATTAATTAGAAAAGGATTAATAAAAATTGATTAATCATACAAATATCTATTATGTTAGCATTAATATTAATATTAGTATTGATATTAGTAATAGTATTAGTGATAGTATTTTCTTCTTAATAAATAAATAAAATTTAAATATTTTATTTAAATTTTAATTAGAATATTAAAAATAAAATCTTTGGTATCTAATACTTTATTTACTTTTTTTTTAAAATTACTTATTTTTGCAAATATTATAATTATATTTATAATACATATTTTTTATGTATTCTTTAATTAATAATTATCTTTTTCAATTAGTAATTTTTTATTCTTTTTTTAAGATAAATAATATTTTTAATTATTAAATAATAATATAATATATCTTTTCAATAACTTTTGTAATAAAATTTAAATCTTTGATTTTTATATTTAATAATAAAATCAATTTTTAAAACTATCATATAAAAATATACTTTTAATAAAGAAAATAAATTAAAATAATAAATTAGTAATATTATTTAATATTTATATATTTTTATTTGATATATTAAATATTTCTAAAATTTTAGCATTATTATTATATTATTAGGTTGATTTTAAAATATAAATATTATTATTTAAAATAATATTATAATTTCTTTGTGAAAAAATTGTTTTTGATTAAATTTTTCTTATAATTTTATTATAATAAAAGCAAAATAGCATAAAAATAATAGTACAAAAAATAGTATAAAAAAAATAGTATAAGAATATAGTAAACATGATATAAAAATTTATTACAGTAAAAGCTCATTATAGTAAACTGTCAATTTCAGCCACTTTTATTCACAATAATGAGATTTTACTAATAGTTTACTATATCGAACAAAATTTATTATAAAAAAATGAACTGGAAAAAATAAAAAAGTTTACTATAATAAAGTTTACTATGTGTTCACTATAACGGGATTCATTATAACAAGCTTTGACTGTATATATATAGATTTAATATTATTTTATTTGTAATCTTTTGAAAATAATCATATACATTTTAAAAATTTACTTATATAATAATTATGCAATAATATATATAATTAAAAATTTATTAATTATTAATAAAATTATATATTTTAATCTTAATTAGAATAAAATTAATAAAATAATAAAAATATTAAAAAAATATTAGATTAAATTAATAATTTTCTGATTTATTAATAATTTATATTTTTAAATTAATATTAAAATAATTAGAAATATTCAAAAAATCAAAAAAATTTCTTATAATAAATTTAATCATTGTAATAGATAAAATTTTAATAAAAATTAATTAATAATTATGATATTAATATTATTAGATATGCTATAAAATTTCGAAAAACCAAAATCTTAAAACTTTAAAATCCTGAAAGGTTCAAAATCTCAAGTTCTAAAATCTCAAAATTCAAAATTTTGAATAGTTATAAGAAGTACTTTAAATAAGTATATTGCAAGTGAGTCATAGAAATTATTTTAAATTAGTAATATATGTTGCAGACGAGACTAAGGTTATCTGAAAATAATTCTGCTGAAAATTTTTTTTTGTTTTTTGTATAAGTAAAACTCCCTCTGATTGAAAATTTTTTCATTTATTATATAAGTAAATATTAAACTATTGATAAGATGAATTGCAATTTTAATGATTTTGTAATGAAAAAATTTTTAATAAAATTATGTAATATGCATATTAATAATTTTGATAATATCATCTGTAGTATATGTTTTAATCAGAAAGTAAGTTTAGTTATATATAAAAAATTTTTAAAGGAAAAATCAGGATTTTTTACTATTCGAAATTTTGGATTTTAAGATTTTGTATAATTCAGGATTTTGGATTTTGAGATTTTAGATTTCGAGATTTTGGACAGCACCCATATTATTTTCTTAAAGATCCTTTATATAAATCAATTAATCAATTTAATTTACTAAGATAATTAATCATATAGATCTTAGATATTAATTTAATTTTTAATGTAACAGTTTATTTAATTTTTATATCAATTTTATTATTTATAGATTTATCAATTTTATTAACATAATAACTTTATTTTCTAATAATAGTTCAATTTTATTTCTATTAGTTTAATTTATTTTATTAATTATTTAATATATTTAAATATTTTTATATATTATTAAATCTCAATACTCTTCTAGTAAAGGTAATCTAATAAATAATAATCTTTAAATAATAAACTTATTATTATTAAAAATGATTCTTATAATTATTTTTAAATTTCAATTGAGTTGCAACTTAATTATATTATAAGCAAATTTAATTATTTTATAAGTTATAACTAAATTATATCATTTTTTTAATTATAGTATTTATCTTTAACTTAAATATTATAAAAATTAAAAGATTCTTAAAATCTTTAAATTAATTGTTAATAATCAAAATCAAAATAAATGCAACTTGAATATAAAAATTTTTTTACTTTATAAGCTAAATATTATTTTTTTTAATAAAATAAGTATAGATTTAACATTAACTCAAAAAAAATTTTTTTAGTAGTTTTTTTCCTTTTTATTGCAAAGAGCTCATATAACCTTAGATTTATATATATAATTATTCACTTTATTTCAAACTAATAATAATATTATTATTAATATTAAAAGCTTTTAACTGATTAATTATTATGTTTTAAATTTACAAATTGTATTTAATTAACAATTATATATTAAAAAGTCTAATATTATAAGTATAAAAAAATAAAAGATTTTAATTAAAATATTTAAATTATTTTATTTAATCTTTAATAAATATAATCCTAATTTTTTTAAAAAATTACTTTTATTTTTATTTTTACAGTAATCTTTACTTTGTTTTCTTTTGTAATTTTAATTTTAATATCAGGATAAATAAGAAACGAAAAAAGCATTTAAAAATACTTTTTTCTAATAAGTATCAATTATTTTCATGTTGTATGTAATAACTATGAAATATCCTATTTACTATACCAAAAAATGCTTTGATAAGATCTTTTGAATTACATGAGATTAGGATAAGATTAAGGGTTATAAAACTTTAATAAGGTTTATAATATAAAATTACTATTATTTAAAACTTATATTAAATTAGAGAACTAATCATATAATTTAGAAAATAGATTTAATATTAAATTAGAGTTAGTCTCAGAAGGTGAGTATAATATTATATTGTGCTATGCTATTTAAATACACAAATTTTCAAAAAATGAAATTTTTTTTTGACAAAAATCAAATATTGGTCTGCAGATATATTATAAAAGAAAATATAATTTGTAAATCTATATCACATCCCTTATGTTTTCAAAATTACTATTTATTTTGAAAACAAAATTTTTTTAATATTGAAAATTCTATTTATCACATGTATTTATCACATAATTAATTCAGCTATATTTTATAGTGCTGGTAAAAAATTTAGAATCTGGTTACGACATTACACTAATTTTCAAAAAAGAAAATTTTGCTTTCACGTGATTAGTTGTTACAAATATGACGTGTAACATGATGTTGATTTTACATTTTCTTAGAAAATCATCGGAAATGATCGGCTCAAAATATATTTAACTTCTTATAAAGTTATGATATTAATCTTTATACTTTCTTAAATATGAACTAATAAAGTTATATATCAATTGAGGAGAAGGAATAATCAAATCATCTGAATTCAAAAAAACGAAACGTCTCAATTAGTCGGTCATATTCCGTAAACGATTTCTCATTTAATTATACAATATTAGATATTAAATAAATAGCTGGTATTTGATATTCATGAATGGACCATTCGGATGGATGAATTGATGAGACGATTTGAAAATGAAAGTATTCATTTTACATCAGTAAAAACGCGAACTATTAGAAGCAATAACGCATGTATTCATTCTAAATCTCATTTTTTTTTTTTAACATCCATGAGAATGTCTTTTTTTTTTTTTTAAAAAAAAAAAAAAGAGAAAAGAATAATAAGTATTATCTCACAAGAAAAATGATAAGTATTTTAAGATGAAAAATATAACATTATGATCTATAATACATAATTCCAAAATTTTATACTATGGTGGTTTACATTGCTTGTTAATATTTTTAAGATTGACTTTGTTGAAGTCCTTTTCTTATAGCCAATACAGAATCCTAAATAATAATAAATAAGATTACATTAATTTTTTTTTTTTTTTAAAAAAAAAGAAGATATTTTAATGTTATTATAGGATATACACATACCACAATAACAGCATCTACACCGGCTTTTCGCTGCAATTGTACATTCTCCACCTCATTGTTCATTGTACCATAAGTAAACAGTAATAATCCTGCTTCCTTAATTGTCGCAATTAACTTTGGTGCTTCAATAATAGGGGCACTATTAGATACTATGCCTAACAAATCCGCATTTTTTGCAAATCTTATTGCTGCTTGAATAGAGTTGCACCTCGCATCTGCAAGGGTTGTCTCTCCACAATCCGATAAGAAGAATACCGGATAATTTGGCTGTTTAAAAGCCAACATTAAACATATATCAGGATGAAAAGACGAAAATATAATATTACGGTCTTGAGCGTTGTCATAGACACATTGAAGAATTGTGTCCACGAAAAAGTTTAACTCTGTGTGATATGATGGTAAATCGTCAGCCTCCGCTTCATCTATCATTGGATATTTAACTTCGATATTAAACCCGATATGAATCGGCACTTTCTGTTCAACAACGGGAAAAAAAAATTATGTTAATAATAATAGATATTATAGTTGAGCAAAATAAAATAATAATAACTGCCAAATTTTTTGACCTTAAACGTTTCGACCAAGGTTGTAAACGGACCTTGAATCGAACCATTACTATTTCCCTTCAATTTCCCCATAGGTTCGGGATGTGTTAAAGAAGTTACAGATCCAACGCTATTAGACCTTTTCAACTTTTTATTGTTTTGTTGATTAATATTACTAGCATTAAAAGGAAATTCCCTACGATGATTAACTAAACGTTCTTCAGATTTTTGACTATTAACAGTTTTTTGCTTTTTTAAATTCAGAAACTGTTCAAGGGTAATGGCATGAATTGGAATATCATAGCCAGTTTCTGTGATGGTCCAGTCATGATAAATGACGGGGACCCCATCCTTCGTAAGTTGAACGTCTATCGGGGAACAAATAACTAATGTTACTTAATTTGACGAAAACCTTTGGAATAATAAATCATAAAAATAGTGTACTTGCCAAATTCAACATACTCTGCTCCAAGTGATGCTGCCGTTATAAAACTAATAAGAGTATTTTCTCCTATTTGTAAACTTGGAGTTCCTGCCCTATTCATACCAAATCCACGATGTCCGATAACTTTGGTAGAAAACGACCTCCGATATGTATGCTTATTACCAACAGCAAGGTTCTCGTTTTTGAACGGCCTGACTATTAAAAACTCAAAAATCACCCGTCCAATAACTTCCAATGTGCCCATACCAAGAATCGGAACAGTCACATAACCCATTAAAGAACTATGTTGCAAACCTGAAGTAGTTTTCACGGATGAAAGTAATGCACAAGCACGTCCGATTGATTGCTTTTTTGTTCCAAAAGCGGGTACAACATCAAATGTCAAAATAACTTCATCTATATTAGATGAATAAAACATGATTGGATCAATGACTGTTTTATTAACTGGAAGATCCATAATAGCTGGTTCTCCGGTGGCATTCTTGGCAGAAACTACAAGTGAAATTAACGTCGGTGGCATCATGGAAATAGATGTATTATATAATTCTACCGGGACATTATCTTTACGGGTATCGGTATTTCCAAGTGTTACAAGAATCAAAGATTGATCTTGTAGATATTTATGACCATATGCAAATTCAGCTGAAGTAACATTTGAAATATCTGAATTAATCTCTACATTTGCAATTATAGGTGATGGATTAGGTTCTTCAAACGCAGTTAGAGGACGCAAAATGTTTTTCACTGCATAATGTCCCCGGAAAACCGCATGTACATGTGGAGTCCAACCGGAATAGTCCATCACATTAGGATCAGCGCCTGCTTTTATTAGCACTTTGACACACTCTGTATGACCTTCTACAGCTATTTTAATTTCAAAAAAAAAAAAAAAAAAAAAATGAATAATCAAACGCATTTACATTCCAATAATTTAACTGTCTTACCTGCCAAAAACAAAGGTGTCCATCCATAAAATTTTTCCTTAATCTCCATATTTGCTTTTTTAAAATTAGTGTCAATATTTTCACGTGAATTCTGATGTTCATCTAATCCAACCAATAACCTCACACAATCATCAAATCCATTACGAGCAGCCAAATGTAACGGAGTTTCTCCCTCTTCATCCTGGATATCAGGATCAGCACCAAAATCGAGCAAAAGTTTTGCTGTTTCGATATGGCCAAATTTACAAGCAGTAGCGAGCGGAGTTTGTGTTCGATTATGCGAAAAAACATATGACGACACATGAGCGGATGCCATTGCGTACTGACTTACAGCAGGATTAATCGTGGTGGGTGTAGAGTTAATTGATCCAAGTGACGGAGAAGGATCGGCAGCTAGATATGACAATATCATAAATTAACATGAATAAATTAATAAATTTGAAAACCACCAATGTCATTTTTAATATCCTTATTACCGTTACTAATGGCATCAACATTCTTCATATTGCTCCCCTTAATTATACAGTTCACAACTTTAGTATGTCCTCGTATAATTGCATAAAATAACGGCGTGAACCCATCATTATCAAACCAGGAAGGATCACTGAACCCTTGTTGTAATGAAAACTGTCCAGTTCTAATTACAAATCCCAAAAGCAGCCCAGTGATTTTTTCAAATCCATTAATGGCCGCGTAATGCAAAGGTCTTCTACCAAATGCGTCGGTAGACGAGACTTTTGAATATTCTGCTTGAGGAATATTTTCAAAGATCCAAGATATTAAATTTATATCTTCACAAACGACTTGACTTTGACAATTTTGCACTTGAAACGTAGTAATAGAATATATCATTTGTCCCCCTGAGCTATTACCATTATTTATCGGGGAACAAGATGTTAAAGATGATGAATTATCTGATGGTAATTTACCACCATTTATCACCAATTTATGAATCAATGACCGTTCATTTATATCATAATCATCAGCTATACTGGCTCCAGATTCGAGAAGTAATTTTATACACTTCAACGCTCCAAAAGAACATGCTTTATAAAGCATCGACGTTAAGATCTAGAAATATATATATATATTGATTGTAATTATAAACAAAAATAAGAAATAAATAGATAAAGAATAAATAAATATATATATATATACTTTTAAGTCCGAATCAACTAGATTTATCAAATTTTGAAGGAGATCTATATTATCGTTTTGAACTGACTCCGACAGTATTTTGATCTGTTCTTCAGTCAAATTTATTCGTAGAAGGCGAGCTTTTGTCGTGGATTTGGCGTCATGATGAGGATTTTGTTCATAATCTGTCACTCGACGTTGAACTTCTTGAATCCAATGTTCAGTGGAATCCAACATGTCAATAAGTAATGAACCTGTTGCAAACGGAAGTTTATCGACCTACAAATGAAAATAAAGTATTAGAATTATTTTACAACATATTAGGTACTTAATGATTTTAATTCAATGGGATCCATAAGTGAAAACCAAAATTTTATATATCTCTTACAAAAAATATCAGTAGCATTCATTTAATTATAATTATGATGAGATTTAATAAATTTGGTGTCGATTCCGTGGGTCAAGTTTCTCATAGACAAAGGGTTCTCTATAAGTGATAACGAACCTTTGTTTTTAAATAAAGGCCTTTAGCATCTCTACCTAATTTCTTATCAAATCTACAAATGCAAAAAAAAAAAAGTGAATGTTAATAAATAATAACACGTAGATCACTAAAATATTCCTTACTTTTTCAGAATTTTGCCAAATCCCTTGATATTCAAGTCCGCAAAATATAAAAGTTGGTGAACTTTATCCTTAGTTTCTAACAATACGGATAATAATTCAGTATCCGCAAATGGATCGATGGAATGCGCATTAGATCCATGATCGATCGAGTTAAAATCGATAGATGGACTATTTAGCGAAGGGCGATATTTTTCTGACAAAATTCTTAATCGACGTTCTATTTCGGCGCATTTGTATAAAAAAAAATTATTGACCTTCTCTAGTTCACTATCGAGCGTGAAAAAGAAGGCTAATGACCAAAAGAATTAGAATTATTGAAGAAATTGCAAAATTTAAATAATAATAATAAAACTCACCGACTACACAGTCATCGTCAACGGTCGTTCCCCCTCGCGAAGTTGTTTTAACAGCATTATTTATGAACTTCTTCAAAGCTTTATAGCTTATATAATGCCTATAGTAAAATAAGTTCAAGTTATTGTCAATAATAAAACCGGGGGTTTATTAATTAGAATTAAATATACCTTGACCACTCTGGTATGTGATTTTTCAATAAAGTTTTTCCGAACTTCATAACGTGTTAAACTAAAATTCGCTCGGTAAATGACCTTTACGAGCTTTTATACATGTATGATCATTACCTGTAATTTTGAAGTCAAATTTGTAAATTTTGTGATAGGAAGGGAAACATACTTTGGATCTTCAAATCCAATCAAATTTTTGTTTTGTACACATGGAAAAATAAGGTAATGGGCGCAATAATTTCGTAATTTGTGATACCGAAGATCATCATTTTATAGATCGTTAGACTCAAAATTTTTTAGATGTCGACATCAATTATTCCTTTAATAATGATATTTGACGTAAAGATTTTCAACAAACCGGTAATTTGTTTACAATCCGACTTTCAAAAAGAGGCTGATATCTTCAGGAATAGACGAATCATTCTTTGCTAAAAAAACATGTTCAGTAAAAATATTCTATAAGATTAAACTTAAATATTATTTTGAATTGGATTGGACAATGATATACAAGTATACTAGGAACGATTTTTTGACAGCGGAAATGTTCGTCGGAAACCATTATTAAGCGGAGCACAAGTGTAACGAAAGGGACCAATCACAATTTTGGAACGGCGGGACATTTTTCGTCTTGGAGCCTAGACCATAATAGTTTATTATTAAACAAATATTTAATATCAATCTTATCTAACTTATTATCTAAAAAAAAAAAAATTTTGATCGGATGATATTTATGATATATTGATTGTCAAAGTATTAAAAAAATTAGATAAAATTACTAAGCATGAGCCTTTTCAAATTGACTTTTGACTTCGTCAAATTTAGCCGTTTGAGCAGACTTCATATTCATTCATCTCGAATGGAGTCACGGGGAACCAGTTCTGGTGTCACGACTGAAAGGAGTTATTACGACGAAATGGAGGAAGGGGCCGACGGTCAGCAGCTAGAACAATCGATGCTCCAGACAGAGCAATGTTTGCAGATGCATTAGCGTCCCTTCCTCGTGTTGTGTAATTTAACTTCCTTGCCGGGCACCGAGGATGAACGCA